AACATTTGAGATGCTTTTTAGTGCAGGATGGGTCCATGACATTTAATTTGCATAGGATGTCGAGCTGTCTGACAATAAAGCTTAATGATGCATACTTGTTGGCAGCATGGGTATAACTGACTAAACCACAAGGAGGAGAGAGGAGGGGGGTGAGTCATTTAGCAGCATGTGTAGTTGTATCTCCTCTGTTGATCCTGTTTAGCACTTGTCACCTGCTGGCTGTAGGTAGTAAAATCTAAATATTTCTATTTATAATTTAATACATAATTATGTTTTATGTAAAATATTTATATGTAATTTTTATGTTTACCTATAAAAAGAAAACCAAAATGACTATACATCCCCATTAATGGCTGTAGCAGGCAGGAGGAACTGAGGTGCAGAGATCTGCTAAAGTCTGTAAGGTATGAGAAGCCAGTGGGTGATTCAGATGCCATCTATCCAAAATTGAACTAATATTTTCAATTGAATTATTTTTTTTTTTAGTTTTATTAAGTAATGATGCTTACATATTTAAATTGGAATACATGTATGGGTTACTCACTCTTTTTTAGTCAAACCCATCAAGCTTGGTTGATGTTGGCAAACATTTGTAAGTTTTGTTGAGCCTATGACCATAGTTTTTATTGAATATGCTTTGGGATATACTTCTAGTAATTGTGTTCTTTATACAGAATCACAGTCTAACCATTCCAACCAATCAGACAGCGGACTTTCTGACTCCCTGGCCTCCTGCCATGTCCGTTCCCAGAGCATTGTGAGCTCCATCTTCTCAGAAGCCTGGAAGAGAGGAACCCAGCTGGAGGAGTCCAGCAAGGTAGCAGCATCTGCACAGTATTTGCCTATGTAAAGAAGGAAGGCATGAGCAGCTGGGCTGCATGAATAGCAAGCTGCTGGTTTACTCACTATTTTCCTGTACCCCATACCTGATTTCCCATTCCATTATACAGACCAGTGTGTAGTATTCATCATTTCTGGACAAAGTCATCTTCATGATGTTGTCACACGACCATTCCATTGGGCAAGTTGTGAGTCCATAGCTAAGAGACTTTTGTAACAGAATAAAGAATCTGATCCTTTTGATAGATTTACCAAATTTTCTTATTGAAACTACTCAATAAATGTATATATCTCAGAGTTGCATGGGAAATCTTAATGAATGGGGTCAGAATATACACTTTTGCATCATTTTGCTTTTCTGTCGCAACGCATTTTATTTCACTGCTCGTGTTTCTCCTGTTGCCTCATTGTCCCAGGTACCAAATGCGAAGCCCACCTCTGCTAAGGCCATCAAGCCCACAGCGATTTGTACGGGGCAGTATTAAGGTCAGGGGTCATATAAAAAGCACCTTTTTAACCTGGATGTTGTTAACTGGAATCCTCCAGACTAACTTTCTACAGAACCCTTAATCCTTTCTTAAAAATGAACATACCTTAACATAAACACCCTCTGGCTTTTGTTTGGTTACCTTTTTCCATATTTGAAAAAAAAAAATGGTTCTTGTGTATGAAAATTGTTTAGGGTTGAATTCTATTTAAATGATAACTTTAAAATTTTAATGCAGTTCCAATGCTTAAAGTGACACTAAACTAAGCAGCTGAATCTTAAAAATGCATTCAAGTACCTTAACTATTAAGAAACATGTATCTTATATATGCATCACTCAGCTGTAGATCTTCAAATCATGCCTGAATTGGTGCCGACACTGTCCGTCCTTCTGGAGGGTGGCTACTTGTGTTCCCCATGGTCCCTGTGTGTGTTGTAAATTAGTCACTGCTCCAAAGTCACTCCTATGATGGATTACAATAACTTTATAACAGATACAGGGACCATGGGGAACAAAAGTAGCCACCCTGCAGAAGGAAGGACTGGTGTCAGCATGAATTCAGAGATGATTTGAGGATCTACAAATAAGATACATTTCTTTAATAGTTAAGGTACTCGGAGTTTAGTGTCACTTTCATGTAATCCTATTCTCCCCTTCTCCACTGTCCTATACTATACTGTGGTAAAAACATATCAGCTGTTTTTTACCTGACCACAGCTATGGCAGCAGGTCATCTGGCAGAGCCCACTTATTAGGGACTGTGCCTGAACACAGATCCCATCCGTTGGTAGTGTTTTTTTCCCCCCAGAATACTGTATGTGTCCTAATTCTGGCAGCTGATGGGTAAGTACCATAGTTTTCCCCATTAGATATGGTTATAGAACTGGAATAGAGGACTTGTAGGGATATATGAGTAAAAAGTGATATGAATGACACACTTGTCTTTCCTGGACAAAATGCAGCTTTGAACAGTGCTAAAATTGTAGATACAGAAAAAACTTTCAAAAGACAAAAAGTGATTTAGAAAACCCGCAACAGAGTCATCGCAGTAGAAAAAAAGAAATCTACAAAGCACTATCCTTCCTTCCCCACTTCCCCCCACAAAAAAAAGCATTGGCTGCACTTGCATTTGAGCTGTGATCCACCTTTCGCTAGAGATTACATGACCAAAAGCTTTTGCTTATGTTGGTATTACTGAAGAGAACCCAGAGCATCTTTTTCTCCATGATAAGTGGGTTTTATTTTATTTTAGTAAAATAACTTTATGGTAAGATTTCAACAGGGGACCTATGAAAGGATAATATGTTGTTGGCGTGTAGTCTAGTAGTCTAGGATTCTTTTGTTTGTTTTGGTATGATACAAAAAAGTGTAAAGAAAGTAAAAAGCCAAACCGGACACATTCCATGCAAAACTCCAAACATGGAGTTGGACAAAACTATTGGCACCCCCAATTAATATTTGGTAGCACAGCCCTTGGATAAAATAACTGAAATGAATTGTGTCCAGTAACCATCAATGACTTTCTTACACCTCACTACAAGAATTTTGGACCACTCTTCTTTCGCCAACTGCTCCAGGTCTCTCAGATTGGAAGGGTTCCTTTTCCTAATTGCTGCTTTGAGATCTCTCCACAGGTTTTCTATTAGATGTAGATCCAGACTCATTGCTGGCCAGTCCAGTACTTTCCAGCACTTTGTCTGAAACCATTTTTGGGTGCTTTTTGACGTGTGCTTTGGGTCATTGTCTTGCTGTAAGACCCATGACCTCTGACGGAGACCCAACTTTCTGAGATTGGACCCTACATCGCACCCCAGAATTCTTTGGTAGTCTTCAGATTTCATAATGCCATGCACACAGTCAAGACATCCAGTGCCTGAAGCAGCAAAGCAACCCTAAAACATCAGTGAACCTCCACCATGTTTGACTGTAGGGACTGTATTTTCTTTCTTTTTCTGAAAACAGCAGAATGATGGGCTTTACCAGAGAACCGTAATTTTGTTTCGTCTGTCCACAGCACATTCTAGCAAAAGGATTTTGGCTTCCTCAGGTAAGTTTTGGCAAACTCCAATCTGGCTTTTTTATGTTTCTGTGTCAGCAGTGGGGTCCTCCTGGGTCTCCTACCATAGCGTCCCTTTTCATTCAGATGGCGACGTAAAGTGCGAGCTGACACAGTTGTGCCCTGAAGGTCGGCTTGAATTTGTCTGAAAGTTGATTGAGGGTCTATATCCACCATTCAAACAATCCTTTGTTGCAATCTTTGATCTATTGTTCTCTTTCATCCACGTCCAGGGAGATTAGCTACGGTGTCATGGGCTGTAAACGTCTTGACAATGTTGTGTACAGTGGACACAGAAACATTAGGATCTCTGGAGATGGACTTGTAACCTTGAGACTGTCCATGCTTTTCCACAAAAACTTGGAATGCAATTATTTCTTGCAATTTGGAGGAGGTGCCAATAACTTTGTCCAGTCCATTTCTGGAGTTTTGCGTGGAATGTGTCAAATTTGGCTATTTTTTTCTCACTTTTTTTGTACCATACCAATACAAACAAAAGAAATGAGAATGCCTAAACACTTGTAATTGCAATAATCTTCTGCGTGAAGTGGTGCATTATCTGACAGAAATTCAGTGGTGCCAATATCGGAACCCAGGTTGTATCTGTATGGCATCCCATGAGCGAAACCTGTTTTGCAAATGCAGTTTTAGAGTTTTAGCAAAAGGGTGCATCAATTAATTATAACTTAAAGTGAACCTTAGATTAAAAAAAAGCAAGTTTCACCTATTACATCATATGCCCCCCCGCCCCCCTCCCCAATATTACAAAACACCACATCATACATGTAGAAAACACCTGTGCAGCACCTAGGCAGGAGTGATGTCACAATCCTGTCACAATCCTTCCAGTGAAATATTTAGAGCGCTAGGCATTCTCATAAGAGCTAGCTGCTACACAGTGCAAATGTTAGAGTTTTCCAGGAGCTCACTGGAAGTATCCAGTGTCAATTTTGACGGCAAATTGATTAAAATGCCATTTTCGTTTTACTCACCTCATAGTTCTAGCCGACTGTGACAATGAGACTGTCACAGGTCGGCTCAGTAGATCGGGAAGTGAGCGAACACATACCGGCATTCGCTCACTTCTCGATCCTGTTCTCGATCCTGTCACGGCTCTCTGCCGTGACAGGGGAGGGGCTGGATTCCACCCTCCCCGCTCTGACTGGCGGAACGGACAGGGAAGGGGGAGGGTACAGCTGGCACTGCCTCTAGATGGGCAGAGCCAGCTGTCACTCACGCAGCTGGACGGATCCAGACATAATTGTTGGGATCCGCTTCAGCTGCGGCGTCTCAGTATACCGCGAGCTGTAGCTCACGGTATACTGAGCCTAGGGTGACGGGAGGGCGCTAGTTTGTGTCCTCCAGTTACCCTAAGGAGAACTATGGGGAAAAGCCCTAACCCCATAGTTCTCCTTTAAAGTGACATGTCTGTACAGTTGGTGCAACAAGTGTTTGCCAGCTGGTGTCCTGCTAAGTAGATCAGTAGGTTATTATTCAGTTGTGCACGTCTCCCTACTACAGGAAGAGTAATAGCTTAGGGAACCGGAAGTCCAAATGCAATAGTCATTCCCAGAATTTTCATTTTCGTTACATAAACTTCTCTATTACTTATTTTTCGTTTTAGTTTTCATCACTAAAAAAACATGCAAATGACGGGGGAAAAACAAAAATATTTTGTCAAGGAAATGAACACTGGAAGTATCTTGATGTCACCCTCTCTAGTGAGAAAGCATGCTATAAAGCAGGGCTCAAAATTTCAAGTCCTGAGCTACTAGCCAGGCCTTAAGAGTCACTAGCCACCAGTTGCCCCACCTAACCCTTACCATGCCCCGGCCTTAACTCCGCCCCTAAACACACCCTCTTAAATAATCTTATGATAATTCTTATCTTATGATAGTTGCCGCTTGTAAACGGCAGATTAGGGATTCCTGCTGCAGGAAAACGCAAGTTCCTGACACAGGAATCTCTAATCACACCTGAAATATACTGTAAGTGTGAATGGGGCCTAATATAAACATACACTAAAGGTGTCCATACACCTGCTGATTATCGTACCATCCCACGATCGTACGATAATCGGCAGGTGTATGGGCAGCGTGCGACCGCTTCTACTGTAAGGTCGTACGACTTTTGTCTTCCAAGCACGCTGGAAAACCTGCCGAAAATCTTAAAATTTTTGGCGGGTTGGTGGCGTGGTCGTAATACCAATGCCGCACGGGCCGGTGTGCGCAAGCGCACACTGCCCACTCAGCACTGCAATCATCGGAAGTCCTCCCCTCAGCGGGGAGGGCTTGCGATGATCGCAAGTACGATCAGCCTGTCCAAGATGGGCGGATCGTCCGACATTTTTATTACCTTACAACCATCGCACAATGAAAATCGTGCAATGGTGTAAGGTGTATGGGCAGCTTAAAGCACAATAATACACTGCTCAACAACTGCTCAACAACGTTACACCTCCCCCGCACAAATATAATAATAAAATTCCCCCTGCACACAAAAAAACCCTTATTAACCCTCCCACACAAAATTATAATATACTCAACCCCTTCCCCCCGAGCCCCCTCACCTGTTCACGTCTTTGCAGGGAGGAGGCTGTGAGCAGGATCGATCCCTGGTTTATCTGTGAGTGATTAGAGAGAGCTGCAGCAGACCTCACTATCACCCCCAGATAACCAGGCATCGATCCTGCTCACAGAGATTCTTTTGGCCGGAGCTCAGAACTGTCAGAGCTCCGGCCGAAGGAAGCCGGAGCTGCTCTGCATCTGTGCATCTGTGTCTGCATCCGACACAGATGCAGACCGTGGAGCTTCTCCCGCAAGTCAGGTACGCGGTCTGCGACCGCGTGCCTGTCATGTCAGCTGGCTGTAGGCCACATAGTACCATCTCGCGGGCCGGAGTTGAGCCGGTACTTGGAGACCCAAATTTCCACTTTATTTTTACTCGCAAAATGCGAGCAGGCGAGTGGAAATTTTGAGCCCTGATATAAAGTATATTTATTATTTTTTTACACAGGTTTTTTTTAATTTTTTTAAGGAAGGTGTGGTGTTATGGCAAAGAGATGGGGGGCAGGATGTAATGAGAAGACCTTGCTTTTTAGTGTAAGGTCTGCTTTAAGTAATCTTGTGGCACAAGCTTGTGATTAACTTACAGCTGCACTTTATTATACAGATATATTTATTGCTGAGTGAAAGTTTGGATGGGTAGACATATGTGGTTACATGGTTCTCCTAATGTAGGCCTGTGGAACTACATAGTAATGCTAGTGTTTCATTTAGGATGATTTGTTTTTCAGCAATACACATGATTCTTTGCAATTTCATATTGTTTTTGATTGGAAAAAAAATCAAGCAAAAGTGTTAGCTATGCTGTTGAAAATCAGTTTTCATTATCAATCAGTTGACTACATTTGATTGGTAATGATAGCCTAAAGGAAGAAATAGGAAACAAATTGGCAGCATAAAACAAATTCATCAAAATCAGAAATTGTCCACCTTGTTTTCAAATCAGCCACACACATATAGGATGCATTTGGTGTACTGAACAACAGGTTACCTGTGCAGGCACCGTTCGGTGAGAAAGGTTTACCTATTCAACATTGCAGTATATCATATATCTTACCATCTTTTCAACCCCCAAACTTATTTACAGTTTATCACGGGAGAAATAGGGCGCTGTTGTTGCTGATCTTTCTGAAAATGCTAGTTGCCTGGCTTTGTGTCCTTTTGACCTAAAACATGAATGCAGCTCGCATTGCTCTGGGTCAGTAACTCCATTGGGGGTTTTTAAGCAGAGACCAGAAATTAGCATTTTCAGAAGGAGGTTACAAAGGTATTTCTCTCATGTTAGGTTTGTTTTAATGTTAAACTCCAGACACAATCAACATACACATGATAGTACTAGCAAGCTCTTTCTATTATGTATAAGCCTTCTTTTCACGTAAGCTGGTAGCATACTCACAATATCCCTCTTTATTTGTTGTCTTCATTTCTTTTGAGAGGACCAGTTATTCAGCCTAGCTGCCTGTGAAGGCAGCACACAATGCCCCTATGTAGTTTACAGAACGCTTAAGGGGACCAGTTACCCAATGCACAGGCAGCTAGGCTGAATAACTGGTACCCTTAAGCGTTCTGTAAACTACATGGGGGCATTGTGTGCTGCCTGCAGTAAGTAGATACAAACAATGATGTGGAATAGTAGGCATAGGCAATGAAAGGGGAGTTCTCAACACCTCTGCCACTGCCTCTCCCCTCACTATGCCAGGATGTGTGAAGTGATAGTAGTGTGCCTGCGCTATCAGAGCATAGGCAAAGAACAAAGGAGTACATGTTTGTAATGTGGTCAGTATGCGCCCTGTCTCTGTTAATGCCCTTACAGTGCATACAATGGTGCTGTAGGCAGTGACCGAGGAGTTCAGAAATCTTGTCATTGACTATACTATTTGCAGGAATGTCACTTGTGTTCTTCTGCAAGCACAATAGTAAGTAACACACCATTATGCAGCAGTTTTAGTTTTACCCATAGTTGAGCTTTAAAGTGATTCTGTCAAGAGAGAAGTATGGGCCTACCCCCTTTCCCCAGAAAATGCTAGTTGCCTGGATGTATCTGGCTGCAGTACTTTTGAGTCACAAACCTGGAACAAGCAAGCTGGTATTGAGTTCCACATTTCCTTATCTTTGATATCTATATATTAGTTCTAGGTCAGAGACTCGGAAAGCTTTGAAGCCAAAGCATCAGTATGGTAGCCAAGGAACTAACATTCTCAAAGCAGAAGTCGGCAATGGCAGGTTCCATACTTGTTGGGATGTCAGCAGGTTGAATCACACTGTGGTTAAAAAAAAAATTCCCCAGAATACAAGCGGTGAGATCTCCTTGCTGGAGGACCCATATGCATTGGGGTTGATTTACTAAAGGAGTAGAGTATGTTCTCTATGTAAAATTATTTTTCATTAGCTTAATGAATTATGTAAAACTGTGCTGACTTCAGTCGTCTTGTCTCATTTAGCAAATCAACCCCATTGTCATCTATTTCTATTCTCTCTCAGAGTATTATACACAGACCAGTAGTACACACTGGTTTCTTAACTACAGTCATTATTTGTGTGTGAGCTGGTAAATTTGCAACACTGTAAAACATATGAATTCTGCCCATAATTCTAATAAATCCATTTCAAAGCGCCACCAGGCAGAAAAAGGGCACAGTTCCAGCATCCAGTGAAGTCATAAAACATCTAGTGTATACAGTTCATTTATAGAGGAGTTTGTCGATAGAAGTAAAATCTATTTAAAACATAAGGGTTTCCTCTGCAGCTGCACATAATGGGTGCTGAGAGGAAGTTGGGTCATACTGGGACACAAGGGGGCTAATCTCATCTTTGTAACTGATCAGCAAAATGCTGTATCTTTTTCTGGGAAATTAAGCTATGTCCTGCCTAACTTGCCCCTTCTCTCCTTTTACTCTTCTGCATTATCACTTTTGTCCCTGTGTTGCCGTCTGTTCTCCCAAAGTGTCTTGTGTCATACCCTCATGTTAAATCATATGTTGCAAGTTATTTATTGTTCCATTTTGTAGTCTCTCTTTTACCCTGGACATTCTTTGTGATCCAGTGCTGAAAATGAGAACTGTTAATTTCTGCATCTATTTTAAAAAATGATCTGAATTTTTTTTTATGTGGACCTTGTGTAAAAATGTGTATTTAAGGTGTACCTAAGTGTTCTATGGAGCTTGTGTCTGTCTGCTTTTTATCTATCCTTATTCCAAAAAATGTTATTTTCACTAAGATTTTGAAACCGAAAATAAAAAAAGTCTGGCCGAAACCTTAAAAAAAAATGTTCTAACCTTTTTTAAATTATTTTTTTGTTTTTCTAAATTTAATTTTTTTACATTGATTTATTTTTCTAATAAATATTTTTATTTTTTTACTTTACTGTTGGGGGTTTCTGGAAAATATCAGGGGTCTAAACAGACCCCTAATATTTCCCTTTTAAAATAGAAAAAGAGATTGAGGACACCAAGTCCTTGATCTCTTTTTCTGCAGCCCTTGGTAAATTGAACAGGAATCCTCTATACTGAGTGTTCCTGTTCATTCATAACTTGTGGAGATGGTATGTTTACCATGTGCACAATCATGAATGAACAGGAAGTGATGTAGAGCACTTCCCATTCATTCATAATTGGGGACACAGTAAACATACTATGTCCTCAATTATTTACAAACACTCAGCGATCACTTATCACTGAGTGTTTGTACCGCTCTTCTTCCTGACACGCTGTCACAGGAGGCTGAGCTGGCAGTATGTGAGGAGAGCTCAGTCTCCTGTGACAGCTGACTCCTCCAACGCACCGCCTGCTCACCCTCTTGTGAAAGGTGTCTCCGCCCCCCACACCGCTCTCCTGATCTGTCACAGGAGGCTGAGTGGGGAGGTGCGGGAGGAGAGCTCGGCTTCCTGAGACATTGCGCTCTCCTCCCTGCTCCGCTTAGCCTCCTGTCAGTTTCCCTCCTCCTCGCTGGATGCTGCGCTATGTCAGAGGAGACACAGAGCAGTGCCCAGCGGGGAGCAGAGAAACCATGGATGCACCACAATTTCAGCCGAAAGTTAGTACTTTCGGCATTTTGCCAAAAGTGCTATTTTTGTCCAATATGTTTCAGCGGACAAAATTACGGTGCATCCCTTTTCATTTCACTTTTTTATGGTTTATATAACTACTTTATTCATGTATAAGGCTATATTTATGTTTTTTTTTTATATATATATACATTTGTTTTTAAATTCTAGGCTCGGATTGAGACCTTAAATCGACCCCTAACATCACTGACTCCACAATCACACATCCAGTGTAAAGCAAAATGCTGCCCAGTATCCAGGGCCAACCTTCAAAGCACCTTCAGCAATTCAAACAACTCAACACAGTACAGTCACCACAAGGCCACAGGTGTTTATAACTCCAAATGGAGCAATCCCTCCACCCCCACCACCGCCTCCTCCTCCTCCACCACCACCTCCTGGATCTGCCATGGCAATGTTAAAACTCACAAATCCATGTGTGCCACAGATGCCTCAGTTTACACCGCCTCCACCTCCTCTCAAAATTCATCAGATTGAAAAGAATTCCACTGTCCAGACTGCACAGCCTCCACCACCCCCACCTCCTCCACCCCCGCCTCCTCCACAATCATTCCAAGCTCCAAACAAGCAGTTTGTGCCTGTTGCTAAAACGTCAGTACCTGCTGCTAGTCCAGCATCCACTATTGCCACGGGACCACCTACAGTACCGAAAAAGCAGCTACACTTCACACTTTCCCAAACTCAACAGCCTATTTCAGCACCATTAGTTCCTTCTGGCCCAACGCCACCTCCAACGCTGCCTAAACAGCAAAGCTTTTCTGCCAAGCCTTCTTCCTCCCCACAGTCAGTCATGCCCTCAGTTAAGCAAATTGCTAGTCAGTTCCCACAAATGCCTCTTTCAGATTCCCAGCCACCTAAGCCAGCAACTCCAAGTACTGCTCCCCAGTCTCCCCCAGCTGTCAAAGCAAAACCAAAATGGCAGCCATTTTCTGTTCCATCACCTGAATTTCCTCCTCCTCCCCCTGAGAGTAGCTTAGACTTGCTGCCACCCCCTCCACCACCACCACCTCTTCCTCCTTCAACATCACCTGTGCCACCACCTTCTCCAACGCCAGACAAAACAGGCTCTCCTTCCAAAAAATCAAGCAAGACTTCAAGCCCTGGAGGCAAAAAGCCGCCTCCTACTCCACAGCGTAACTCTAGCATTAAATCCAACAGCTCTGCAGAGTACTATGAGTCAAAGAAATCATCCGTGGACAGCCTTGTTAGCAAATTTGAGGAATCACCTGGATCTCCATCTAAGGAATCAGCACACCCACCTGCAGCTCCACCAAAGCCCGTTAAACTTAATCTCTCTGGGGTAAACTTGCCTATGGCCTTTCAGCAAGTAAACCTTTCTGCTCAGATGTTGCCTTCCACAAAAGAACCCACCATGGAGTTTCCATCTCCGCCGTCTGATTCAGAATCTGATTTTCCACCTCCACCAGCAGATCTTGAGCTTCTTCCACCTCCACCTCCACCTCCAGATGGCCCTCCTGCTTTGTTTTCTGGCAGCACCTCACCAAAAGTGGCTGTAGTGAACCCACAACCTCAGACGTGGTCAAAATCATCTGTCAAGAAAGCCCCACCACCCACTAGACCGAAACGAAATGACAGCATGAGGCTAATGCAAGCTGAAGTGACAGAACCTACTCCCATTAGTCCTCAAGTACCAACCTCACCGAAGCCCAGTCTAAGTGTACAACCGGAGTTTCTTGCTGACCTTAATAAGACTCTGCAGCGAAAGTCTATTACACGACATAGTTCACTTTCCTCAGCCCGTTCATCCAGACCAGAACCCACTGCCACAATGGATGATATGGTACTTCCTCCACCACCACCAGAACTATTAGGAGACCATAAAAAACCAAACTGCTATGGAAGCGGCAATTTATCAGGCTATGCAACGTTACGAAGGGGACCACCTCCTGCCCCACCTAAAAGAGACCAGAATACCAAACTTTCTGGAGATTGGTAATCAGTTAACAACTTTTTGCCTAGTTACAAACTGTAAAAACTAATGTACTATGATTTAGGATCCTTGTGTCATAATATTCAGTCAAGAAATGCCGTTTGGGATAAAGGTCATTGTGCACTTCATATGCCTCCTGTTCAGCAGAAACAATTTCCAGAGATCCAATGCTAGTTCCCAATGCGGACAGGACCAAAACACAGTTCATATTCTACATATAAAGAAACCTTTTTGTAGTGTATGTTGGTGTGCAGTGTGTCTGCATGTATTCCTACAATAGGCTTATAATTCTGTAATTAATAATATAGCAGATGTACAATAAAAGATAACAAGAATGTTTTATCTCACTCTGTCTGGATTGGGTTAGGAAAGTTTTTAAAACTTGGTGCAGTAGATGTTCTACTATTCAAGTCACCCATGTCAGTATGACTTTAAGTGAACCTGTGAGACATTTTAAACTAATAGTCCTGAAACAAAGGGGTCTATTTATAAATGTTTTCACATGAGCTTCATATATCATTCACCCAGGAGTCACACATTTTGCCAATCAAATCTAATAAGAAAATGTATAAATCTTAAGTGAAAGTTTATGATTCTTCATTGAAAACATTTATAAATAGACCGCCAAGGTGTCTGCTGCTATTTTTATTAGCCATAAACCCTCATCTGTGCAGCTTTTGATTCCGTTTCACTTTTAATAAAAGTTTTGATGTCCATATCTTTGGTGCTCAGTTCCACTCACCTGTCTGTACCATATCCCATAAGAATGTTCTACATGGCAATGGAATGCATTAATTAGGCTGATTACCCAGGACAGCTTCTTGTATTAAACTAAAGCTAAATTCGAGGGGCCTACAGACGCGGGTTTTCTGGCTATTGCAGGAAAATCGGACATCTTGTGGTATAAACTTTTTGAGTAGAACTTCTTTTTTTAATATTAAATATTTAAAAATAGCTCCATGGTTTACTTTAAAGGGAAATTAATACCTTTTGGAGAAAAAAATCCTCTCAAAGATAGTTGTGTACATTGCAAGATTTATAACAAACTTCATTGCAGATTCTTACCCACTTCCTTTTTGGAGACACTAATGCGGTCATTTCACTAGTTATCTCTGACTGCAGGAAGTAGGAGTGTGAAGTAGGGTGGGTATGTCTGCTATGATCAGTCCAAGTCTTATAATGGAAGAAAACCTGCTGGGAAAAGACAGTGACTTGAGCAAATGGATTTAAGTCAGCACTCTGAATGCATACAGCTTACCGACTGTTCTCATGGTTGTAAGTTTACTACATGATTTTTTTAGTTTCTGGCAATTTTAGAAATTCATATCTGATGCATATTAAAAAGGACTGATTTTTTTGTAGCATTAAATAACAGAACGGCTTGTAGTTATAGAAGTTATATATGATGTATATATATATTTTATTTTAAAAAAAGGTTTTTGCAATGTTTATTAACTGGGCCAAATGAGCCCAAAAAAATGATTGTCCTGTGACTTACCTGAGCTGTCAAGGTGACCCTTCATTATATGTGATGGTATAAATTGGTTTAGGTGCTGATGGGATTCCACCATCATACAACTACAGTTACATGTATTTGGAAAAAAAATTCTTCATGTTTTATGGTTGTAAATATCACAAAATGTGTTGAGTTTCACCTGTTAGTATCTAATCCCGGTTTATTGTTGGCTGTATGTATAAAGAACAAAAACGCTGAGAAAATATACCACAGAAACTGACTAGACAGAGGACTGTCCTCTATGAAAGAAGAATCTGCTGACTTCTTAGAATATTAAGTTTTTAAGATGTATGGTTTTCTAAACAAATCAGTCTAGGCTCAGTAAGTAGTCTTGGTGGAATGCCTCATCCTGGAAGCCCAGTCTAATCCTTTCTGTTCTATCCTTTAGTATCAGAAGTTATAGCATCAGTCTCCCTTGCTTCCTTTATGAGTGGATCAGTTCTGTAAACTTGATAAAATACCATGCACAATAATTGGAATGTAATAATGTAATCTTTGTGACAAGGAATCTGGTGTATGTAATATGAAGTATCTTATATTTAAATACTGTAATACAGAGAATGTAAACATAATTTGCTTTCAAAATCCATGATATGGGAACATTTTCGTTTGACAAATCTGCTTCATGCTTGCTGTGATACACAGCTCTGTCTGTTAACCACACAGCATCAGTGCAGGCCTCATAGGGTCATGCTGAAATATAATTACTTTCACATACATTCCTATCCACAAATGTCCTGAGTATTCTGTGTTCTTAACCACTTCAGGACATCTTCCATACAATTATGTCTTGAAAAAGAACAACATTTTTGTTCTGTTTTGTGCCTCCATGGAATCGTGGTAGTATAAAGCAGGGGTTGTCCCAGGGTAATGACCATCTTGGTTAAGTGATCACACTGTCAGCTGGTAAATTAGTCCCAGTTAAAAGCACTGGGAATGTAAAAAAAAATATGATTTTTGTACTTAATGTAAAATCTGTTTATTGGAGTTCATTAAGGCACACAGGTATCTGCTCTTATACGATTAGGTTATACTGCTGCCTACAGGAGGATTTGGGCACTGGCAAACAAAAAAGCCTTTGGTTAGTCATGTATAACCCCTCCAACTCCCAGCATGCTTCAGTTATATAGAAAATCAGTATTTAGGAGTAGATCACAACATAGAGTAGTGGGACATGTGTCCCTTAATGAACTCCAAGAAACTGATTTTACGATAAGTATAAAATCCCATTTAGGGAAATATGATTTTGTTATTGTGATATGATTGGGTTATACTGCCATGTACAGGAGGATCTGAACATCGGCAAACAAAAAAAAGCCTTTAGCCAGCCAGGTATAACTCCTTCCAACTCCTAGCATGCTTCAGTTTTGTAGAAAAGCAGTAATTGGGAGTAGATTCACACCGTAGAGAGGTGGAACTTGTGTCCCTTAATGAATTCCAAGAAACAGATTTTACGGTAAGTACAAAATCCCATTAAGGTACACAGAATTCTGTTTTAATATGATTGGGGTTATACTGCTGCCTACAGGAGGATTTGGACACTGGCAAACAAAACTTTTGGTCAGTCAGATATAACCCCTCAAACTCCCATAATCCTTCAGTTATATAGAAAAGCAGTATTTAGGAGTAGATCACAACATAGAGGTGGGACATGTGTTCCTTAATGAACAAGAAACAGATTTACAGAAGGTCCAAAATCCCATTTTTCTTTATAATTCATTTAGGCATGCAGGTTTCAGTTATTCTAATACAACTGGGACCTCCTCCAAAAGCAGTCCAGCTTTAGGGTTGGGCAACATAGCAAACAAAATGTATCCAGCCCAGATAACAAAAAGCAATAAAACTGAGGGCTGCCTAAAGTTCAAAAGCTGCCTGAAGGACCTTACATCCAAAGCTGTAGGCCACAGCACCACTTTGTCCATGTGTAAGACTAGAAAGGGTTCTTTACAGGACAAAGCCACCAACTCAGGCACACATCTCACAGAGGTAATCGCAACAAAGAAAGCAAACTTGTGAGAGTGGATAGGGGAATATCCCTGATAGGCTCAACGTTTTGGTTTTTAAAAGCTGGTACAACCAAACAAAATAAAAATCCCAATGAATGACAGGATGTTCTTCAGGAAGAAGTACAAGAGAAAACTTTATACAAAAGTATTTTCCAACGAATTGGAGGCTAAAGGTCATTGAAATAAAATTGCAAGGCTGAGATTTGTCCTTTGATAGAACTCAGGGCCGAATGTTGGTGCAAACCTGATTGAAGAAAGGTCAGAATTCTTGTCACTCAGTATTATCTGGGGTAAATCTTTCCTTACAATAGGTGAAGTATGCTTTCCACATCCGATAGTAGAACTTACAGGAGGTTGTTTGTAATTCATATGCTGCTAAATGTTAGCAAGTCTAAGAGCAAACTCTGTCAAGACCTGGGCTTCAACAACCATGCCCTTTAATGGTTGCCTTTAACAACTATGCGACAACAAAGCTTGGTGATAAACCGGTCCTTGAGATAGGCGATCTGGTTGACCAGAACCAACCCACAGGTTGACTGCCAACATTTTATCCAGGTCAGAGTACCACATCTGCTTGGGCCCATTTGGAACTATGAGGATCACTGGAATGCCCTCCATCTTAATCCCACAGGGTAGACAAGGAAGGTGTTCAAGAGGAGGAAACGCATAGATCAGGCAGGGAGGTACTGTTCCATTGTTTCTGCCAGAGGATCTTTCCATCCCTCCAGTGTCCACTGCACCAACAAGGTGTCTATGACTCCTCCCCAGCCCATTAGGCTGATGCCCATTGTGAGGATTTTCCAGATTCCAGAACTCGATTCCTAAGCCATTTTGCAAGGGACATCCTGGTGTTCGCTGTCATGCATGTCAGATTATCCAAAGGTTAAGCTGATTTCACGCACAGCAACAGAATTTTGTATTGAAGTAGTGTGGAATGAAACTGGGCAAATGGTACTACCTTGAAGGAGGCTACCATCAGGGCCAAATTTTTCTGCAGTTCTTGCAGTCCAAGTCTGAGAGCGGAGAGTCAGACTCGAGTCTTATCCAGGATCTCCAAATGATGTCTGCTCTAATGCTGATTTCTGAAGGTTTAGGATTAAATTGAACCTTATTAATTGATGCACTGGAAATGGGAACATGCAAGTAAACATCCTTTATGTCCACCAAGGCTAGACATTTTCCCTGGGGAAGGGAGGCTATAACAGATTTGGTAGATTTCATGTGGAAATTTTGGACCAGATAGGGCGCATTGGCTCCTTTTGGTTTTTGAACAGTGAATAATTTAGAGCAGGGTTGCCCATTAGGTCAATCGCGATCTACCAGTTGATCGCAAAGCAAACACTATTGGATCGCGGTCGGCTGTGTCCTGTCCTCCCGTGGTGCTTGTGCGGCTGCCGGCTGAATGTCAGATGCCGCAGACGCGAAGGGGTGGGACACCTCTTCCCGCGTGCAACGTCGGCCACACGAGCACCGCGGGAGGACAGGACACCGGCGCACGAGAGGAGACCTGGGAAGCTGCTACAGTGGAGGTAAGAAAAGACAGACGGGAGAGGCAGCCAAGAGAGTGAGAAGAAAGACAGCAGAGAAAGTGAGAGAAGAGACAGCAGAGAGAAATGGGAAAGTGAGAGAAGAGACAGCAGAGAGAAATGGGAGAGAGAAGAGACAGCCAAGAGAGAGGGCCGCTTCACAACACAAAGTATGCGTTCTAGAGTGTCCGGCCTCTAGAACCCACTGGAACGCAAGCCGGCCGGCTACCTGTGTTCAGGGGCGGGAGGGGGCATGTTGTTGTGTTGAAGTCAATGGCACCGCAGCCACGCCCCCCGCGTGCAGTGCGATCGCCTAAACCTGGAACTGCAAGCACTTTTTGCAGATTGCACAGGACCGGAACACAGGCACTAATGTGCCTGCGTTCTGGGTGCAGGTGGGGTGCATGGCTGCAGTGCCTTTT